CTGTGCTGGCATTAAATCAAGCTGAATTTATTTTTTTTTTTTCAGTAGGATTTAAATGGACATTTACTTAAGTTTGGAAATTGTTTTAAACATTTTCCGTTGCTTGGTGGAGCTAAAATAGACTTGAGGAAAGATTCATTAAGAGCTATTTTAGGTTTCACAATGGAAACACAAAAAGCTGAAACGCTTTCCTACACCAGACAAAAAATTTAAATTTAAGTTAGTTTAAATTTAGATGTTTGTTTGCGGGACAACTAAAAAGGTCTCACAGCACCTATATATAACTACCATATTCAACTAGGAGAATGGACCAGCAAACCTGAATCTGCCAGTAAGATTAAACATTATAATGCTAAATATCAATACAGTATCATTATCACACATTATTTTCACTGCAAAATGGAAGTATGCCATGAATCTCTATTAAAGGATAATCCCATAGTTACACAATGGCCAAAGAGTGATGGATTTCCAACATTGTCTTTGGAAAACAATCCTGAACTACACACACCTTCCTGAAGACATCTGTGGAGGAAGGGGGTGGGTGGAGAAGGAAGCAATAATTACTTTTACACAAAACGTCTCCCTTTACTAAAGCAGGTTTTGTATAATACCAAACTCACCTCCCTAAAAAACCTTAATACAAGGATATATTAATACAGAATAAAAAACAAGAGACATGGTGAAACTACTTCATTGTATGCAAGCAGTAAAGCCCAGGTGGAGAACACTCAGCATTCTCCCTCTGCCAGACTAAACTAACTCTTGTGGCACAGAGGAAAATGAACAGTTTATCTCAAAAATGGCAGGAAAAGGAACATCCTTGGAAGTATTACAGTTTCTACTGAGTTTTTTTTGTTTGGTTGGTTAGTTTTTGGTTGGGTTTTGTAACTATATCTTGACATTGATGGTTTAGAAAACCATTGTCTTGTTTATAACCATGGAAAATGCCTGAAACAAATTTCAGACTCAAGATCAAAAAAACTGCATGACCTGTTTTTTTCCTTAAATGCCTATAATCTTTTAGAATTTCCTTCTGTTTCTTATTTCATATTTTGCCCATCAAATGTTCTGTTCCTGTCCTGAATTAATATTTATTTGTTACACGTTCTTTCCCTGGTCCTATACCATTTTTTGATACTCAGTTTCTTTCTCTCTGCCTCTCTAGGGCCTGGTTCACCTCTCTGTACTTAAAAAGATTTAGCACTTCTGTTTGCTTTCCTTTTCTCTTTAATGCCTGGTAGCTCTGCTTGATTTAGCCAGTGACTCTTCTCTTAGGGGACTTCTTTATTCTTCTATTCTGTTTATGCACCAACAAAATCCATTTAGGGGGGAAAAAAAAAAAAAAAAAAAAAAAAAAAAAAAAAAAAAAAAAAAAAAAAAAAAAAAAAAAAAAAAGGTAGACTTCCCCTTGGGAAGAATTGCACATTTGTGAATGTAGATGAAAATTCTCAGCTTAATATCACTGTGAAGTATTCAACCACCCATTGAGAAAACAAAAGCAACAGGCGTGAGGATCTGGGCCTGACCAGAGGTCCCACTGCAAAATGTGGCATTCAGCTTATTTGGAAAATGAACATAATACTTGCCTAGCTGAACTACTTAAAAAATCTTACATTTTGTAAAGAATTAATATAACTTTGAAAGGAAGACTAAGAATTCAGACCACTACTATTAGACTTCTAAATTAAGCTTATAAATTCCTGGATCATCATTAGGAACGCTGTATAGCTTCGTATTTCACCACGATTAGGAGATAAATAAACAAAACTGAACTCTGCCTCATACCTAGTTCCTCAAATGTTTTAAATGAGAATAATCTTGAATAACAAAGACTATCCATTTGTACCTGAAACCATCTTCTGAAACCAACTGCTACCCAACAAGTTATCTCTGCTAAGAAGCCTATATCCCAAGTGTGTACAGTGATGCCCCTCAGTAGTCAAAGATCAGTTTTATATTTAGTTTAGCAAACTTTCCTCTTTTCAGAGATATGAGGCCTATATTGTCTGTGTAATGCCCATCAAGAATGCTTGTATATATAATGAAGAAAGAATTGCTTTTTAAATTCACCCCTAAAACCTATGTACACTTAAAATAATAACACTTATTTTAATTAAAAAAATAATAACATTTCTTAAAAATAATTCGTATTTTTGACTGCTTGTGCCTGATTTTTGAAGGGAAAAGCACTTCCAGTTTCAGTGCTACTAAAAATAAAGAGTAAAGGCATATCATCTGTCACATGAGCACTGCAGATTTTGCTAATTTCATTCAGTTCCTCTTCAGTGTACTGTATTATAAAGTCTGTTCTCCCCAAAATAAAGTGAAAAAATGCCTTCCCCCCCCTTTTTTTTGATTAAAAAAAGCAATAGAAGAAATATTAACATGACCGTATTAGGAAAAACAAACAAGATGGGCAACATGGATTCCCATTTTGACAAACAGAAGTAGTATACAGGTGGGAGAGAAAGCACAATTTTTATAAACAGAACAATAAATCTGAACTTTTCATCCAAACATTTGAAAGTACTTACACAAGCGTGACTTATGCCTGTTGTAAATACCCGCAAAGTATATCATCAAAATATATAGGGAATAAAATGTATTGTGTGTAGTCATCTTTGGAATGCAAGGGACCAGAACGTAAAGTGAGCAATATTAACATCCGGAAGAAACGGTAAGAATTATTCAGAGAAGTAGATTTGTATCTTTAAAATCATATTTTTACCTAAACACTATGATTTGCAGCACTCTCACTATTGTTTTACTGTCACAGAACCCTTAACAACTGAAGAAACCATTAGGACTTCATTTTTCTATGTCCATCCAGAGGACAAAAAAAGGACAGTGTACTAAAAAGACAGGATTCTACAAAAATCAACCTGAAGGCAGATACTTTAATCTCCTTTTCATCCTCAACCAATACACCAATCATGTATGATAAGACTTGGCAGGACATTTTACAGGAGAAAGTAATCCAAGGTCAGCTCATGAAAGAAAGCTTTTACTGGATGACAGTGTTACCAAACGCCCTTTGGCTGCAGATAGCATCATTGCTGTAAGGAAGCTTAGAAACTTCAAGCTCAGCACTGAAGAAATGATTCAAAACATGGAATCAGCACAATAAACTGCATTCATACAGTGCAAGGGGGCAGACAAATGCACAAAAGCATGGTAAGATTGCAGTATTCCAGCAGCCCTCTTCTCAAGGTCATTTAAAGTACGCTTTACTGGTTCTACAATCACCAAGACAGGTAAAAAGCTCACGAAATTCACTCTTGACTCCAGGCCTTTCAAAGCACAAGTCCCTCTTTAAACTTTTCCTAACTCATGAAGGAGATCTGTCAGAGGCTCAAGAACCCAATAGTTACATGAAGCAGCACTGGACATCCTTTCAACCAGCATCAGATCCGAGTAGAGAAATCATTACTTAATTTTCTACGACCAGTGAGCTTTTGTTTTCCCTTCAGTGTTTTTATTGGATAAAATGGTATTGTATGATAACACAGGACTCACCACAGAGTCTGAAATACCTACTCAGCCCCAGCAAGGAAGCTGCACTGTTTATATTGCGGTTTACATTCTTTTTCAATTGCACTTGTATTTAATAACAACAAGAACAAAAAAATCACACTTTGTGGCCAATATTTATATTTTCCATTTGGCAGATCTGATAATTTTTCATACCAAGTAGAGATAAAGCTGAGTTGGCAGACTGTATTTATCAACATTTCATCTGCTAAACCATTTCATCTGGAAAGCCAACCATATTGTCAACAGTTCTAAGAAGCACGCTCCTGAGTGTATTATGAAAAAAAAGATGAAGAACATAAAATCCAAATAAGCAAGTAAGATAATACAAAGGAGCGGGACAGGACCCAAACCTAACAGCTCAACACTTAAAGATTTGTTAGTTGTAATCCCTAAAATGGAAGTTTATCTAGTGCTGAGTACTTAAGAAAGAAAACTTTCTTTTTTAAACACTAAACACAAACTTCCAGAGTTCCCAATATCACTTTCATGCTACTGCACCAAGCAGGAAAAGCAGCACAACCAAAATTTTGATCTATTGTTCTGGTAATTGCCAAATTTAATAGTTTTTCAAATATTGCCTCTCAAAAGTAAAACAATCCTGTGCTCATCACCACCAGAAATACATATTTCACAGGACTATTTGAGCCTTAAGGGATACTTTCTGTGAAAAACAACACAATTATACAGGTTAGAATTTCAGGAATAATTGTACTGACAACAGACAAAAATGAAATAAGATAGAATTCTGAAGACAAAAGAGCAGCAAAAACTTATTTTAATGCTGACAGAAATGTGATTGTACACATGCATAGAGAAATCTCTGGATAGTTTTGCCAAGCACGATATTTATTTATTTATAGTAGATTTAATAATTTCTTCTTCTTTATTAACAAAAATTTGCAGTTGTATCCTATTTTTATACCAAATGCTTCAACTTTCTTTCTTAATCAATCAAACCTCGGATCTTCAAACTAAGACTCTCCATTAGACACAAGAGATTTCTGATGCTTTAGCAAGCAAAAGCACTCAGAACAATACACTGTAAGTACAATTTACTACTGTTAAAGATGTGATTACTTCACTGTTAACCCTTTCAGCAGCATCACCTTGACACTCTTCCTTTCACCTCAGAGCCTTCTCCTTCTAGAACCTGATTACTGTCCCTCCTTCCAAAATTCTCTGCTTAAGCTAAAGACGTCAGATCATCGCAATTAACGATCACTACCAAAGCTGACATGTCTAATGAAGGTGTGCATCAGTTGATGAACAAGGGTATTGCAGCCCTACTGCTCCTACTTAAGACAAAAGATATGAATACTGTGGTCTTACACACAAATAAGAAAAAGATGGGGGCAAAAAAGAAAATGAAATTTTATCTATCGTAAGTCTCAGTCTCCTCCTGTAGATGAATATAAAAGACAAAAAAAGATGGGAACACAGACATGAACAGCAGCATCACTTACCATTTCCTGAGACGCATACTTCGGATCTTCGGGATCAACTGACCAGTAGCAGTAATCAAAGCTGAAGGCCACAGTCTTTTCTCTCGAGTCCCAAGCACCATCAAGCCTACTATCAACCTGACAACAGAAAGAAAAAAAAGACAGAAAGACCAATAAGCTCACCAAAAATCAACTATTAGAAAACTAACAGGAACTTTATCTAAGATCTGTATTGTAGGAAAGGAATGGCAAATAGTTTGTCCTCTTTACTCGAGTCCCAAGCACCATCAAGCCTACTATCAACCTGACAACAGAAAGAAAAAAAAAGACCAATATATTTTTAAGCTCACCAAAAATCAACTATTAAAAAACTAACAGGAACTTTATCTAAGATCTGTATTGTAGGAAAGGAATGGCAAATAGTTTGTCCTCTTTATTCAATTTTCTTTGATGCTCAGAGTGAAGCGGACACATCCATGACAGGCCTGCTGAAGAATTTTTGCCGAAGGGTTCATTTATTACAGCTAAGGTCCTCCAGGCCGTATATAACAAACACAATTTAGTGAATCTTCACATCTCTATTAGCAGGAAAGTTCTATAGCCCTTTTTATATTTTTCTGTCATTTTTCGGTTTCACCAAGAGCTGCATCACAGAAACTATGCCCAAAGTGAGAAAACAAAACCCATTTTCTCACTATATAGTTGAAATGCAGGTGTCTTCCTCTTTGCTTTATCATGGTTGTAGGTTAAGGCTTCTGTCACTGGGACTGCACACTGCAAATCTAACCTTTACAGGTTACTAATAATGACAGTGAAGCCTTTCAAGCACAATAGTCAGAAATGGCGACTAAAATTTTAAGGGAATCATGTAAGTCTTTCTGTATAATCTTGCCTAAGTGATTTGTAATAAAACAGATAAGCTTATGAAAAAGTAACAACAGGTTGCTGTCCTACTCAGCAAGTAGAGCAAAGAGCCAAAACATTACATAAAATTAACACCATCCACATGTAATTTCGACCTAATCGGTAACTTTATTGTAACCTTGACATTTGCAATAACATAAGCAGAAAAAAAGGTTTGTTATAATTTCGTACCTCAACAAACTGTTTCACTAATGGCCCCAAAAACTAGAGGGTGACTGTGCTATCTGCCTGATTACTGGATAAAGGGTGCCCTAAGCCCTGAACTCTGCCACCAGCTGTGAGGCTTACAGGGAAAATTAATTAACAGGCCCCTCTGACAGGTTTGTGGGTTTTGGGTTGTTGTTTTTTTTTAAACTAAGAAAGAGCAAAGCAAAAGAGGACAGAAATAATTTTAAATTATCTTGGAAATAGAGAGGTTTCACGTATTTTAAACCTCACACGATTCTAAAAGTTGCCACCCTGAGTTAAGTACAACCAAGGTTTCCTTTAGGCACGATCAACTTCTCAACGAGCCCACTGATCATCTTCAATAACAACATTTTCGTCATGTTGTGATTCAGAGATTTTTAGGCAATTACCTTTTTTTTTTCTTAGATTTTCTACAGCAATAGGCAGGAGGAGGCCTAAAGCACTGCCTTCCTATTGCAACATGTAAAAATAAAAAACAAAAAATAAAACCCCACCCCTCCACCTCAGGAAAAGCAGCCCCTGATCACAGAGGTGATGACCCTTCTGGTGAGAGAGGGTTTAATTTATACACTAACTTGGATTCACCAAAGTCTGTCTAACTTTAGCTAATACATAAAGCAAACTTACTCTCTTAACAAAACTTACCAATTACGAAGCCTCAAGAGAGAAACATCCACAAGCCAGTCCTCACATCACCAAAATAACCCTCCTCAAGCCTGCCACAAGTAGTACACCTCACTGCTGTGGTTTCCCCAGGCAGCCCACAGCTCCTCGTTAAACAAATAAAGTGTAAAAAAAAAAAAAAAAGGAAAAAAAAAGCCCCAAACCCTCTAGGTCTAACGAGGCTCAGCTGGGCCTAGTTAACCTAGTTAAGCCACTGCATGACCGAGGCTTCCACCTGCCCAGGGAGGTCTCCCCACAGGGCGGGAAGCTTGGGAGGCCCAGGTCCCCCCAGCCCTGCCTCACCAGCGTCTCTTCCAGAGCTTTACCACAGGTGTAAGGAATTGGGGAAAACGATTTCAGAAAGTGGCCAGTCTCAGACCCTGCAAATACAGCCTTTGAGAAGAAAAAATGCAGAAAATAAGCGATGTTTTACACCCATGAGACCTCTCATACCACTAGTATTTTTTCCCTCTTCTTTCTCTAAAAAAGAACACTTATAGTCAATATAAAAATAAATATAATGTAAAAAAGATAAATAGTTTGAATCTTCTAATTCCATTTTTGCCACTGTTTCTCTTCATAACCTAATAAAGCCTTTCTCTTGAACCAACAATCCAGAGTAATTGGGCTGCTTGAAAATACAAGGAAAGAGGAGAGAACAAATACAAAATGCATCCCTCTTTTAGCATGCCCACAGTAATCAGTTATCCCACAGTGCATTTATTTGCCTTTCAAGCAGTAACATGCTTGAAAAAACAAAAATTGATTTACTCCCATTCTATTAATTTAGTGAAGAACCATGGCAGCTTTAAATAGTTCAAGAATCTAAATCAGAGGGCTGATTCTCATGCACTCTGGCTCCAGAGTTCTCACAGAGGACAACAGCTACATTAAGTTTATTCTTATAGCTCTTGGTCTCTTACCAAGGCCTGAAGTGTAGCCGAACACATTTTGCTCCATTTCATGTAAGTCAGTTGCACTCTGAGTGCAAATATGAGAGGAGGAGAAACACACGGAAAGAAATTATCCAGATGTTAGAAACAGTAAGATAAACACAAAATTCTAAACAATTTACTAACAGCTTTGAATGATGGCATGCAGCCAGATTGCAGCAGCTTTGATAAATAAAAAATATAGAAAATGCAGCTACATGTTATATCCCATCTAAGAAAAAAAAAAAAAACAAAATCAAAACCCCCACAACCCCAAACCAAAACCCCCGCCACACACACTTTTGCTGTATTTATTCTAGAGTTGTGTCAGTTTAAATGTCTCCCTTTAATATTTCTATTAGAATGACACAATAGCCAAACAAAACCAGAAAAGCATCAGGGTACCAGGATCCTTTTATGAGAAAGAAAACATGACAAAAAGCATACCTTTATATTTCTGACTTTTGCCACTTTGTCATCAACTTCTACAATGACTCTTCCTCCTTCTGCACTCTCTCTGGAAACAGAACACATTCAAAAATCCATTTAAAATACAAAGGCACATAAAGATGCATGTCAAATTTGTAAATGCCGGAAATTTGTGTTTACTTTAACAAACTGCAGACAGAAAGAGCTATAAAACAGCTACTCATAAGACACTGTGATAGGAAGCAGCATTTGCAGATCTGCAGCCACTTATGTCTATAGTAAAAGAACAAAAGAGGACTGTGGCCATTAAATGGTTTCCAAGAGCTTGTCCAAATAGTTTGTTAGGATTTTATTTCAAATCAAGAGTTGTTTTAAATTATGTTTACAAGGAAGTAGAGTGGAGCATGGGTAGACTGGCTGTGCTTTGTGGAGTACAAATCCATGTCACAGGACCTGGGAGCCGCAAGTGTTGTCAACTCATACCACCTGATTTTTACCACATAATCCACAATGCATGTTGTAGTCCTCAAAAAAGTACCCTTTAGCAAAACAAAACTGTCCTGAGATGTAAATGGCCAGGATTGTTCCACAAGTGCAAAGAACCACACACTCATATATACTGTAAATACTCCCTTTGAACACAGCTATGACTGGCTACTACAGCCAACTTCCACTTCCAAAGATGAGTCATATTAGAAAAGAATGATAAAAGCACGTGGCCAAAGTGAAAAAAACCCACCACCACCAACAAAACCAACCAAAAACCTCAAACCAACCAACAGTTTATTTCTGGCCTGACAGCATGATAACTACTTGAAGTTAAGGATGCTCTTATTTATAGGTGTGTTTATTCACATCCTCCTCAATAATTGCCATGGATTGTTATATACATAGCAAGACAGAAATGAGGAAGAGGAGGTCAGTGGCCTACTTACCTGACAGGAGAAAATAGCTGTACAATTTGGTACTGAGAGGCCAAGAAAGTAGCTGTACAATTTGGTACTGAGAGGCCAAGAACAAGAGAAGGATGTTTTATCTTTTGTATTTGTTTGATATTTTGCTTTGCACTCTGATACTGACAAATCTTGTAAGTTGCAACTTTACCAGAAAGTTTTATTTTGATGAAGTCTAATGCTTTTGAAAAGGTGGAAGAAATTGGTTTACAAATAAAATAAATTTTGTCCTTAGTGCAGTTTTATCACACTTTGTTCAAAAGCAAGATGAAGGCACACACACTGTCATTTAAAATTAGCTGTATATACATCCCCTGACAATCAGCTGGACCAGTACTATCAGGTCAGTTAAAAACTAGGTAAGATAAAACAAGAGTTAGAAAATTCAAACCCAGCTGACCACCGGTCCCAGATGTGTCTTTTAACAGCTTTGTTTAGATGTGCACAGAAGTATTTACTCCCCCACCAATTACAGTCTGCTTTCACAGACAGCTCTGACTTCCAGGCAGCACATAGCACAATGTGCCCTGTCTCTGGGGTCTCCTCTCTCCAGTTCCCAGTCTTTACTCCATGCTTTCTATACCAAAACGACATTTAAAATAATGCCATATGGCACTTAAGACTTCTGTAGAGACAGTAACTGTAGCATTTGAGCTTTAAAAGCATAAAGAAGTTTTAAACACCTTTCTGAGCATAGGCTCTCCCTGTTTTGCTCTACCTCAAAATAATGCTTTACCTTAAAGTCTCTGTGCTTTACTTTTCTTCCTGGACACCAGCTGGGGTCAGCAAACACATTACTGCAATTAAATGGGACAGAAGACCTTGCCCTCAGTTCCTATACCTGGGCTTTAATTGTGACTTGGACAACACTGAGCTCAATTTATCAAGGCAGTTCTCAGCTGGTGAGTTTTTTGACTTATGGGGATGGTGCAAGCACAATTTGGTCAACACTAGAGAATACAAGCTCAGATGCACTCAGAGAAAGAAGACCCCTTAAAACTTTTAAGTGCTATGTTCTTAAGAGTCTTCACAGAGCATATTAAACAGTTTTAGTTGTTTAAAACTTGGGCAGAAATGAGTGGATTTGGATGGAGAATTTAAAAAAATGCACATTAGATTTCCAAATTTAAATAAATTGGAAATTCAAATATAAGGTCACCTTAAGTTGCTTTGAAATATTTTAAAACTTAATTTTCCCTTAATGTCATCTTCTGTAGCAGCTGAACTCTTTGGGACAAAGCTTTAAAGTAATTAAAAATATCTAGCCTGAGGCAGGCAATCATACATGGGAGACTTCTACCCAAATGGCCGAAATCTGGCAAAGCTCTTAATAGTTTTAAATGCCAGGGTATTCTCATTGCAGACATAAAGCAACCTCAACAACAAGCAATGCTCCCAACCCCACGTATAACAGTTAGGTGACACTCGCTGCCTTCAGTCCATGTGCACTATACACAAATGACTTTATGCTGGGGGTTCTCATCACCTCACACTCTCCCAGGCCACAGTCACTATTAAAGATTCAAGATAAGGAGAAATTCCAAACATAAAACTTTTGAAGTACAACAATTTTTCAGATATATATCAGTTTATACACTTGTACTTACATTAAAATAAATATAAAACCAGTAAGGTATAAACAACACAAAATAAAATTAGCAAACCACCTTTTACCACGGGGTAACATTCCTCACTAGGCAGACAAAAAGCTCTACGCAGCAGTGAAGGAGCTTTGTTAAAGTCCCACATGACAAGAAAGCCTCCAGCAAACAGGGATGGAACCAAAGTCTCCACATAAGTCACAGCATATTTTATCGATCTTAACTGCAGGCTGTGGCTGCAAGGGGCAATTTCTCTTCTCTGCTCCACCATCCCACTTATGTTCCCACTTCTTGCATCTGATCTAGCAATAAAACACCCACGCAATGACTCAAGATCAGCTATGATCAGGAAACAAACACACCAAAATAAATAATCAGGGTGCCACAGGGCCAGCAAGCCCTTCCAGAGCACTGAGCACAGTGGTTGCACAGAGGACCATGCGGTGGTGGGAATGGAGACCCCTCCATCCTGCAGCAGCTTACCAGCCGGAGAACATTGAACATAAACAAAACTGGACCCACAGCCAAACCATACATTCAGCCTCCCTTTAAACATGCGCTTGTTTCATCCTTTTTTTACCAGGTTTCCCAACCAGAGGTTGTTGGGAAAGAAAGCAGAGTTTAAAATGTGAAGCCCAGGAGGCAAAGCAGACTCACAGCTGTTCTAGATGTTCTGACCTTAACTCCAGATTGCAAACACTACAAAAGCGCTCTCAGCAAAAACTGTGTTTGTCAGCACAGTCTCACACACGTGTGTACCACAGTTTGCATCTCACTGATAAAACAATCCCTCATCCTTAGGAATGGGTGCTCTGCTCCACAGATAGGAAAGCTGTATTCCTTGTTTCAATAATATCAGTTCCAAAGTACACTAGACACATCTGACTTCTGCCGCTCAGAAGTCACAGTGATCTTAACATTTAATTTCCCCACTTCTTGAAAAATTCATGATTTTTTCAAGATTTTTGGGAACTGCCTCTCTCCCTCTAAATTACTTCGGACAGCTAACTTGTTTTCATGCAAAGATAAAGCTACAGAGCAACCATTTAATGGTACATGTCCCAGGAAAGACTTGGATCTTCTCAGATACAGAAAGTTTTAGAGAAATGCAGACACAGCAACAGAACAGTGACACAAGTACAGAACGCAGGGGCAGGGCTGTAACCGGGAGCTACAAGAGAGACCTGACAGGAGCAAAATTGCTGTGGCAGTCCAAAAGACAGGAGCAGCCCAAAGGAAAATCCCCTCCTAACATTTGCTGTCCCTATGACAAATCATTTCTGCAGCCAACACATAAAGCTAACACAACCCCAGAGGGACAACAGACACTCTGCAAGACCTGGAAGAATGACCCAGTGGAAAAGAATCACAGGAAGATCAAGAATCCCTGAGAGGGCACAGCTTGCTGGACCTCACTGACACCATTTTATATACTGAGTACAGAAGAAAAAGCAGGTATACAGAGCTGGAGGAAGGAGTAGGTGGAAAGAAAGGGAGGCAGTTGTTTATTTTAGCTGTTATAAAATTTGCCCAACTTCTCCTCCAACCTCTCAAATAACAGTCAGGCACTTGGAGAACAAAGGAGCTGACTTTTAAAAGTCCCCTATTTATTTTAAAAACATGCACATGCAGTAAAGGAAAAATATTGAAGTCAGCAGTAGTCATGTCATACAACAAAACAACTTCTACAAATACAGACCACCAAATGCTCACCAAAGCAATCAGACATACTGAAGCCAATACATACCACTCAAGTACACGAGAAATCTTAAAACACTTTTTAAAGAATTGAGTATGCATCTACTTATTCAAACTTTGAAAATAACCCTGCACCGTAATCGTTGCAAGCACTTACACTTTCCTTCCGATTCCCATGACCCAAGTTGTGGTGTTCCCATCACTCCAAACCCAATCTCAACCTGTACTGAGTCAAAGGACCTCAAAAGCAGTATGGCAACAGTGTCAATACCTCCCCTCTCACAGTGATTTTTGCTGATCCGGACAATCGTCTCAGTTCTGTTTTTTGGAACAATTCATTTTAATCTTTTTTCTAGACTTTTCTAGAACAAAAAGTAGCCTTCTGTGGCCTACTGTAATGGACATTGTCACACTGCTTACAAACACAACCAAAAGCACACCTGTAGCAAGCCTGGCAGGATGCACACCAGTGGTCACTGCTGCTGTCTCCAGGACTCTGTCACTTCCCAGGATGTGACCCATAGCCATGATGGTGTGTAAGTAAGGTACAACATTTACCAAACTACTTCCACTTGTACCTGGGACACTTTGTGCCATAAAATGGCACCCCTATGCAATCACCATGCCAGCAGCTGCAGTATTATGCTGAGGAAGTTTGGGGAGTATTCAGATCTATCTTTTTCTTCCCATTAACATTATAAAGTGTCTTTGCCTTCCTTTTATTGGTGACCTCGGCAGAGATGTCTTTGAGAAGCTGCCATCTTTGCACCTCCTCAGTGACTGACCTTGCCCACAAAAACAAAAAAACAAACAATACAAGGTGTATTTTCTATTAT